TGGTAGCGTATGCGACTGCTGTGCTGAAATCTCGGGTTTGATTCCCGGATCGCACCACATATTTATATGAGTTTCAAATTTATTTTTTGGAGTTTGGGTATTTTCTATATATATTATGTAGGTATTTACAAAAAAAAATACTGTCGTGCGCTTTTTTGTTTAAACAGGTTAACAACTTTCTTCACATATAGAAGAAGATTTATAAATAATAATTATATATCTTTACATAGTATAAAATGAAGTCGCGTTGTTCTTGTACGCTTAGATCTTTCAAACTATGCAACGGATTTTAATGCAGTTTTCACTAATAGATAGAATGATTCAAAAGACGGGTTTATACGTATAATACACGCATATCATAGTAGAAAAAGTCCGAGAATTTTAAAGGTTTGTAATGTGAAGTCGTCAACAACATGTTTTTTGCGCTTACATCTGCTAGCTAAATCGGACGAGATAGATCCAAATAAATTACTACAGAATTATACATCTCAAAAGATCTACAAAAAAGTATAAAATAATATATGTCTACGTCCTAACCCACTGTTGGTTACTGTGGGTACTTTTTATCTTTTACATATTACAAAAGAATAATGTAAATTACTATAATTTAAAATAAAATAGTGTAATTTACGAAGCTATATTGAACAATACAGTATTATTCCTTATACAATTAAATACATAAGATACGTTGTGCATTTAATGTAGATCGAAATTGCCCTTTACAGCAGATCATTTAAATGAGTATCTTGACAATATCAGATATTAAAAATGGAGGGACAAAGCGATCATCGTCGGGCTGTACGTCCGTTCCAAATGGCAGGTCCGGCAGGAGCGGAGCGGGCCTATAAATATATACAACATACATACATAATATCTACATAAAGAGGTCCTGTAGTATTGTATTATCATAATAATAGTATAATTAATTACTCCACACTGACACCATATTAGTAGTACTAGTAGTATCTACATTGCACCCGTACGAAGCCGGCAGATCGCTAGTACATATACGAGTTATAAAACATAAATGGTTCAACTAAAAGTATATTGAAGAAACAAAAAGAAAACATAGGAAGTTACGAACGAGAAACTACAATATAAACTAGGAAACTTTCTACCGATGCATGCAAATATTCTCTGCGAGAGTACTGTCAAAATATAGAACAGTTAACAATTTGTGCAAGGAGAATTTATAAATAGACTTTTGCAATCTGGCAGAACAGTGCTCAGAATGTACATGCATATGTACCAGGCAGACTAGCGTTGGAATTTTGAGTGTTTTGAATATCTTATGTGAATAACTAATATATTTAAAACTAGAGCTGACATTAAATAGATTTTGTATCATGACAGATCAAAATATATACTGGACCCGACATTACATAATTTTTATCTTTCAGCATATTTTAGTTACAAATTTTAGTGTTCTGCGCTTTTCTAATAAAATTTATGATTTTTAACAAAATGTATTTCAAATTAAAAAAAAAGCATTAAAACGACTACGCTGACTATTAAGTAACACGCAAAGAATCCATATGCGTGTAGCTCCGTATATGTCATAGCACGGTGAGCACTCAGAGATTGTTCAGGAAAATTATAACAATTTATAAAATAAATAGTTAAAAGCATAACGAATTATTAATGAAATTCGACCAACGCCATTTCTAAAATATTAAAATCATAACTATTAGCTTCACATCACAATTCATGCCGGCAATATGCAAATATTGCATATATGTTGTATATATTTTGCATATATGTTGTATTCCAAATGATCCAAAATATTTAAGAACGTTAAAGCAATCAGAGTTAATTTAGATTATTTGTAATATCCAGCCTTAGAAAAAGGACTTATATCCTTTGAGTAAAATCAAAGTTGTTCTTGCCTAAATAATTTTAGTTCTTGTTTAATTACTATCTAAATCATAGATGAAGAATAAGTGCGTTGTATGTTACTTAAGTTCACTGAATTAAAGCCATTACTTATTTATATACCTACGTGTGTACACGCGTCAAGTAAAGTAACACATTTAAACGTACACATTGATACGTTATCGATTCAGATTATAGCGTTTGTGAAACTTGTCTTTAATAATAAAGTTCCTAGTAATTATTTTCCATTGAATAGACCAATATTCTAATGTGATGTCACCTTTTAAATAAACAGAACTATTCTAAGTAAAGACATCACTGGGCTATACAAATTGAATATATCAAAGCAATAAAATACCTATATCGAAGTAAACTTTACACAGAATGTTTATCGTTAGTTTCAATAAATATCAGGCTATCTAATCGATATTTCAGATAATTTTTTTAAACGTTAAGTTTTTCTGTGTTTTATTTAAAACTGTTTCTTGTGAATTAAATAACGGCAGTTCGAAGTTAGGTAGAGTATAATATACCTCTGGTAGAGGGTTCATCGCTTAGATTTTAGACTGTGTTAGAAGTGTCATACTTTTTCAGTCTACACAGACACGCACGTATACACATAAAGAAACGCTCATATTTTCCCAACTAAAATTTTAGTACCACTTACATATGTAAAATTATTTATACACGTAAATAATACAGTCCTGTGACATACTTAAACGAATTAGAATGAGTTTTTCAATCAATTCATAAATAATTTGTCAAAAGATCAATCATTATTAGTTACAATAACTTTTAGACAGTAAGCAAACGGTTGCAAAATGATGAAATAAAATAAAATTTTGATCGCACTAAAATATTCATAGAAGACAGACTTAAGCTTTCAAATTAAGCTTGAACATTTTATTTACGCTGTAAAGTAATAAAAAAACTTGTCTTAATCATAATACTGGTGATTTCTTTCCTTTTGCTCAATTTTACGAGAAACTAATCAAATGGTGTGAAAGCTCATTGCTTCGAGTTTAATCAATTATTGCGTGGTTGCCGTAAAAACTCTATTTCAGAATTTACGGCTTTTATTTGTTCCTAATCGCCACTTTCATGAAGTTAAATAACGATCAATAAGTCAATTTTATAGTTGAGCTATCTAATGAGATAATTAGTGTAATTTGTAAATTGGTTATCACAATATATTATGCAATAAATTGCTATAATTGCTATAATAGATTATATCAATAACCTTAAAATATATATTTAATTGAAGCATGATTGCCTCATGATTCAGGGTAATCCTAGATGGATTATTACTGACATCATACACTTTAAATCTGTCTAATATAACTTAAAATGTTTCAGAAGTATTTGAAAAATAGACTAGAAGAAAACGAAAAATTTAATCCTTTTTATAATTTTAAGTATAAGACACCATGATGAAAAAAAAATAGTAGGCCTCTGTTTGTGTTATCTATTTCTACATTTTAAGCTCAAGATGGTGAACATTTAATCTTGTTTAATAAATAGCGTAACGCTCAGAACATATATAAATGACGTTCACCGCACGTTTAGCAAACATGTTCTGCATTTTATTGCAAAGCATGTTTGCTATAAACACACATTTTATTCAAGACGCTTACGTTCTAAAGCTAGCTTAACCTAATCGCATCAATCGAGAAAAAAAATCTTTTTTGTTTTGGAAATTACGGCTACTTCAATGAAGAGAATATAAAATAAACTGTGATATCGCGCCTTCAATGCCTGAGAAATACTGATCATGATATCACTTTTCTCTCTCTGCCCTTTTCGATTGTTTGCAACCATTTTGGTGCATGTCTGCTGCAAATAATATCCTTTTACCCGGCCTTGCGCTAATTCGTCTCAGCAGTTGTCTTGACGTCACGATAACAAACGCGCACGTCATAATCGTGTTATATAAGATACACCTTAATGTGACTTTAATAAACTACGAAAATATAAAACTATAAAAATAATATCATTCAATATAATCGAATAAAAAAAACAAACAAAGTACCTATGCACAAATTTTATTCATTTCATTTCTTTTCATTTTTTATACTAAGTATGTATATAACGCCCTTCAAGAGAATAATGTACATAATTGTTCATTTTCTACTTCATGGAAACCAAGCAGGTGGTATACGAGGGCTACTGCCGTGAGTCTAATGAATAAATCATACGGTGCAATGATATCTGTGAGCCTTAGTTGTTTTATTTTCTTTTTTTAAGTAAAACTTCTTTAGATTCGTTGTGATTTGAAGCTCGATGAAACGAAAATGCGTCACGATAAAGAGACAAACACATGAATGTAGGATGGATAGATAGACTGAGATAGAATACATGACACATTATTTTTATTATAATATTTTGACAGTGTGAATATTTTTATCTTTTTATTTAATTCTAGTTGGTACACGCGACTTTGTTTGCGTGTGTGAATTGCACACACACATACTTTTTCTTTTATAACATCTGTACTTCGATGTTTATATTATAATGTGAAAACAAACTTGTTTGTTTGTTATGCTTTCACGCCTTAACTACTAGACCGATTATAAAAATACTTTTACCAATGGAAAGCTAAATTATCAGCAGGTAACATAGGCTACTTTTCACCTCGATAACCGACACAACCACGAGCCGAGAGCAAAAGTTATTAGATTATTTAAACATGGATTGTCACTCTCTAAGAGTCCACCACATGAGGTCTTTTTGGTAAATAATGTATTATATTGTCGTAAAAAAATATTGTGCGCGGAACCCATTCAAGAGATCGGTCATTTACCATCATGACATCAACAGCCTTTAATAGTCCACTGCTGGACATAGGCTGGAGGTTTTGGCCTACTATACCGCGCTGGCCAGACGGGTTGGTATAGGGTTTGTGTCAAGTTTGCCTTCTTTTTGAAGTTTTCCTGCTTAGTTATGTAACTTAGTCGCCTCATACGACACCACGGGGTGAACAGGGAACATTTACCTTAAAAACATTAAAATACCTTTTAGAAAAGTTTCTTTTAGACACCGTGACTGTAACCTTATAACACTCAATAGTTTTATAAGTTTTTTGATATAAATAGAGATTTTAGGTACATTTCTTTCTTTCAGATTCTCAGATGACAACAAAGAAGTTTTCCGAAGAGCCTGAATTTGAGCGTCCAATCGGCAACCATACGTTCTTTCTCGGAAGAGAAGCGGTGTTAGGATGTGCGGTCACTAATATTGGCAAACATAAAGTAAGTACCTTATGTTTTTTTCGAAATACGGATGTCTGAACGGGAACGGGAGAAGACTACTCTTTTGTCTCCAAGAAGGAGAGCGTTTAATGGGAATTCAGATATTCTCGTGAGCCTTACTTTATAAGCAAGATTGCCTATCATTCAACATCTGGGATCGTTAGGCCTTAGATTATAAGCTCGCTTTCATAAAAAAAAACCTAATATTAATTAAAAACTTGTAGTGTTGATTACAATGACTACTAAAAGTTAAACCTCCTTGGATCCTTTAGTTAATAATTAGCGTTGAGTGTTTTGTTGTTAACTTCTTTGAAATTTAAAATTAAAAATGTTTAGTTTCATAATATATATTCATGAGCTTCAAAATATTTTTCTGATGTAAACAGTGAGACAACTTTTCTAAAGTATTATACATTTAACGTGTGAAAATCGGTAATAAGTTTAATGCCAGAGGCAAAAGATTATATGGATCAGCACTTTAATTCACATCATCACAACTTGTCTTTCAAAGATATTTCACTTATAACACACTATAAAACTTCTATGTACGAGTATATTGGAACGCGAACATTCTCTAAACCGAACGAACTAGAACACCGCGTACTAACCGAACAATATTTAAGCTTACTTTAGCTCCTAAGCGCCAAACTTGGAACTTACAAACTTATCTCAATATACGACCAATGAACTAGTAGCCTATGATGTAACACTTCAAATAGTGTTAGTAAATTGTCTTTATAATGTAATAATTGATAGATGCCTTATTAAATACAAAATAGTTAATTATTAAAACGTTTTGACTAGAGGGCTCGAACGTTCATCCTAGCAGAAGCAGGCTGGGGTGGCGGCAAGCGCGATGCGAAGCGCGGTCGCTTCCAGGGAGCAGAGAGAACATTGGGTTCATACACGGGTCGTCTACTCGTCTGTAGATGGCCCGAGGTATGTCGGGGCACCAGGGACTTCCTTTCTAGGGTATACCTGGTTCCCCGGCTATTAGTATCCGAGACGGCGTGCGGTTTTAGTCGGTTTGAGTCCGACATGCCGCCGATAGGTGGTAACCGAGGAGATTTCCGCACGGAAAAAAAAAGATTCAAGATGCGTCTCTGAATAACTCGATGTTCACAATGTACTCAGATTAATGATAAAATATTTAAAAAAATACTCATTTACCCTCACTCAAATTATAACCTTTTTGTATAAAGCATTTCACATCTAAAAGTTAGTAGTGAAAATATACGGTCTGTGGTTACAGACTCTACATTTATTGTTCTACCTCGATATATTTAGCTCATATTTCTCACTTCTGTCTAAATACAGTGCTTTAAAAGTTAAACTCTTGTTGGTAAAAAAGTAGGATATCAAACTTCCAGCCGTAAAACACCAACATTATCATCAATTTAAATTTCGTCGCGTTAAAAGCTCAATATATTTTTTCGCTACGAAAGAAAAAATAGCTTTAATGATCGTGTTTTTGTGTCAGTTTTGCACCAAAGTTAGTTTAAGTATGGCTATAAATTTTACTGTATTTTACAACTGTGGGCTGTGACCTAAACTTGCAAGAGTAGTATAAAAATCTCTTTTCTGCAGAAGCTCTTAAGCAGACTTCTGTTCACATTTCAAAATTTAAAATAAGAGAGCATCTTCAAGGTGCAGAAGAGTGAGATCAACAAAATTTTACTGGCCTATTTTTATGTGTCATCAGTGAGTAGGTAAAAAAAAAAGTTAGAAGTCTCATTTAAGTTATCCTCTTAAATAATTTTCACTTATAGGCAATAATAATAATATTTTCACACATCCCACATACGGTGGTCTGATCCCAAACTAGGCAGAGCCTGTACTATGGGAAACATACTGCTGATAAACATACCTACTGCAATGTAACCATAAAGTTGTAAAAAGGACATATTAAAAAAGAATGTGCTTAGAGTCTCTTGTCTATTCTTTTTAAAAGCATCTAATTAATGAAGCTGGCGAGAAACTTGATTAAGACGGTTTACTGCTCTGGATAATTATAAAGTACCTACAATAATATAATTGAAATAAATAAAATTGATTTTGATAAGTAGAAATTCATGTTAAGGGTAATAGTTTATCATAAGTCATTTTTGACATAACATTTTGGGAGTAGTGAAATGTTCATATAATTGTAGAATGCCTTGGATCTATCTGTGTAAATCACTGAAACAGAACTTATCTTTAAAATATTTTAAATATACTCTCGCAGAGCCTTGTTTCACACCATGACGTTACAGAAAACCGGTGTTCATCATCATCATCAGCCTTTAATAGTCCACTGCTGGACATAGGCCTCTCCTTAGAAAGGAGGTTTTGGCCTACTACACCACGCTGGCCAGACGGGTTGGTATAGGGTTTGAGTCAAGTTTTCCTTCTTTTTGCAGTGCTGGTGACCTGCGTTGTTTTGCGCCCTTAGTCGGCTCTTACGACACCCACGGGATGAATTGGGGTAGTGACATTCCGTATTCTTAATCCGTCACTACGGTGTTAAGTAATTCTTTTATTGTATTTCACCGAGTGTCGAGTTTACGGGGCTCTAACCGTTTTTGCCAACCACTATAGAGGGTAGAGCCAAGGAAAACCATCTCTGTGTATGAAAACTGTCCATAAAAACGCGTCCAATAAGGGTGGCGGTGTGGTAGCCTAGGATAAATTTATATAGGGTTAAACAATAATTAGACACTGTGTACTGAACTGCGAAAATAGTCAATGAGTTTTACAGACAATAAATAAACCTGGAATAACTTTTAGACGGTAAAAATATTAAAATATTTTAACTCAACACATTAACTCCATCCACAACATCTATGTTCATATCGTAGTTTTTCGTACTCCAGCTATTTCTGTTTTCAGTATACAGCTGGACACTTTTCAACTTTCCCCCCAACTTTCTTATCTCTAGACTCCATAACCCATACCTAAATCTATCAGGATTACTCAAAAAGTGACTCGTGACTCTGACTTGTGAGTTGCAGGTGTCTATGGACGGCGTCAGTCACCTACCATTACGTATCTTTACTGCTCGTTTGTCCCCCTATCATTAAAAAAAACAATTTTCATCTTAATTCAAACAATTCTTCTAACTTAACTTGACGTGAAAATAAGAAGAAAAGTAGAAAAATAAAACAAAACCATTGCCGTGTTCTTTTACGGAAAACGGGCATTGGAAACAAAATCTTTCCGCCTTTGTCTGTGGCAATTAGAGCCGCAAAAATTTACCGATTATCCTTCATTAACAGTAGAGTAACATCCCTTGGCTCTATGCCTAGAATAACAATGCACTAAAATAGTGCTGCACCTTTCCGCGTCGTGAATTTTAATATCCGTACATACGTCGACTGAATGCTAGTTCCAATTTTTGTTTCTTTTGTCGCTGTTTGTTTTCTTTTCTCTGTGTCATGATTTGTGTTTATATCTGTAATGAAATCTAATTAGTTGATGAGGAATGATCGTTGTTTGGTATTAACTAGGTTTATTTATCACATTCGTTTCCTCTTATTTTTGTTAATTAGTTTATTTTGAGTCAGATTTGTTGACATAAATAAGTTTCTACGAGATTTCACGACGACGATACGACATTTCACGACGACGATACGACATTTAAATTTAGAAGAACGAATTTAGACACGTTTAAATTTAGAAGAAAGAAAGATTTTCGGAATTTGAAAAAAAAATTACAATTTAAAAAATACTTTAAAACGGTTCCATTAAGCTACATACATCCAGTAAAAATATTCACCTATGATTGAAGGTAAATCTATGAAATAACAATTGAAATTTTACTAACCATGAAATAAAGCAATTAAATAAAAGCTTTATGAAATATGGTTTTAATTTAACCATTAGGTTATCTATAGTCATTATATGAGTATAACACATGACAGTCGTTTATATATGTTCATAAATACATAAATCGTTGTCTTACTGCAACCACTCTAGCTGAATATCAGTGAAAATCAATCTACATCGCAAATCGCCTGAGATTACCAATTCACCGTGGCCTATAAGCAACCGCATGGAGCCCTGGGGATAACTTATAAATATTCAGAATATTACTTACAATATTTTCACAAATTGTTGTTATGAGTCTGTGTGCTTTTTGTATAAGTTTCATGGATGTTTGTGAAGTCTCCCGCTATCCAGATATATATTACTAATACACTAGTCGTCTTTAAAAAAAAAGTACACATAGACCATATCTGAATACGACTAATGCCTAGTCGAAACATCAGGTAGGCTAAAATGTTGTAAAATCTATTGATCGCTTTATTTCCCTAAGTTATTTTTACTTGTCCTTTCGTCACTATTGAAACATCAGAGGTGTGCCTGACCACCATATTTATATGTGTAAATATCCCATGTGTAATATACTTACAATATTTTCTCAAATTGTTGTTCTGAGTCTGAATGTTATTTGTGTCCGTTTCATGTATGTTTTTAAAGTCCCCTGTGATACAGGATATATATTCCTAATGCGGGAGTCGTCTTTTTAAGAAACAAAAATATGTTGGTACCAGTGTCACTTCTGACTAGATTTATTGGTATTACATGATCATCACATTATATTGATCTGTGGCTGGGTGTAATTTATCTATAATACTTTTTTTTATGTTTATGGGAGCAGACGAGTAGACGGGTCACGATGACGGAAAGTTGCGGCTGGTATTAGTTCGCACTGCCCGTTTAATAGTAAACGACGTCCTACGCGGTGTTTTAGGTTAAGTATTGAATTATAATAACTGTTAATAAACTCGTCGTAAATAGTTGAAATTAAGTGATTACTAATTTAATTTCGCTAATAAACTAACCGCCGATGTTTATCTATGTATAATATTTAGAAATATATAAGTATGTTTATCAGCCGTCTTGTTACTATAGTACAGGCTCTGTCTAGTTTAGAGATCAGACAGCCGTGTGTGAGATGTGTGAGGTTATTATTATTATTGTCAGGGGTAACTTCTGATTATTAGTTGACCTGACTGTAAGGCAACATACTTTTAGAAAACAACAAATACATTTAGTTAAACAAGAAATAGCTAACTGAGATTATACGATTAACCAAACGAGCAAAAACAAAAAAATGACATTGCTCTTAAAAGCTATTTAAATAAAGTACAATGTTGATGCTAATCACCTTACTTGTTAATTCTCTTTGTAATTAACTACTCCTTTCAACCACTGCTCTTTTCCTAAACCTCGCAGCATACATTACATAACCTATCCCCCCAATGCATACTCTGCTTAATTTAAAAGAAAAACAAATCTGACAATGACTTCCAGAGATTAACGTGTTTAAAAAAACAAACAAATAAAATTCAAATTTGGTAAATCACTATATAGATTATGCTACCTCGAAGATAAACCTAACTATAAAGATATATTTCGGATAACCAATGTCCTTGAGTAGGATTCTGACGGCTAAGAAATGTATCACAATGAAAGATAAGGGCATAAATGCAAAGGATTTGAAGGATCCAACGTTTACCCGGATCTCTGACCTAGAAAAGGATTACATTACACCGGACGTTTCTCAGAACTAGTATATTTATTGTTTTTATTATTTCACTGATATTGGAATAGATACAAGTGCATTAAGTATTAGTTTATGCTTTGCTCAACACTTCCTAGTAGTATAAGCAAAGGTAGTATAGCTTTCAAAGTATAAATTATTAAATTAAATGATTCTCTATATATTAATTTTATTTATTTTAATTGGGCCTTATTTATATTTAATTCCCATTAGTGTTTTAATAAATAAACAAGTTTATTTATGTTGTGATTATTGCAGACGTTATTAACTTATAAAGAAGTAAGTTCTGATTTGTGTGTCTTTAAAGATTGATCAGATACAATTTATGGAAAAACCCATAATTACACTTAACATTTTTAAAACCTAGTAACCCGCTCCAGATTAATTACAAAAGTAAATTAACAAAATTACTTTTTGAACTAACCATGTAAAAAAAATCTGTCTAGATATAGAATAGTAGGCTAATAGAATATTAGATACAAAGTAATTTGCCTGTAAAGTGATTCTTTTATTAGTAAAAAGATATTAAACGTTTTATGCCTAAAAACCTAAAGCTAAATGACACCTGTGGGTTATCGATTAGACCAACGGGTCTGGCAACCAAAAGGTGGTTTTGAAACTGGTATTTAAATAATAAAAAGGTGGCTTTAAACACCAGTTTCAAAGCCACATTTTCTGAGAGGTTTTCACAAAATATTAAGTATATAAAATAGGAGTCATATGTTAATTTTAATCTATAGTGATATAAAGTAATTTTTTTATCTAAACTGATATAAAGTAAAATTTTATTTTCGTTGAACGAGCTAGCTTTTAAAACTTTCTGTCAGATTTGAGAATTCAGGGAACTGATGATCTTTTATATTTTAATTACTCAACATGACTAAGTAGAATCTCAGCGCGTAGTAAGCTACGAGTTTCGTAGTTTATTTATACTTGATTACTACTTGATACTTATACTTGAACATCACTTAAGATTTTTTCTTTACATTTTGTATTATTTCTTTTCAAATATAAGTTCACTGTCAAGTTACGTCATATATATCTACACAAATTACCAGACCAAAGACACGATTGTCAAGCCCAATTGTTGATTTTGTTGCTCCTACGATCGACATATTTCGTGCATATTAATTATCGTGAGAACTTTCATTGTGTGATGCAGGTACTAAGTAAACAAATAGTTTTTCTTATCTTCATTATATATACGAGTATAAAAAAACCCGTGAGAGCATAAAATATATTCCGATATCTTCTAAAAAGGGGAAGAAAATTATGTCTGTAATAAACGATTGCTACTGTGTCTCCAAGTTATTTCATGGTACCCTAAGTGTTGTACCACTTTTTTTTGCAAATATGTATATATATAAATACTGATGAAGCTGATTAATTATATGGCAAATATTTATGAGAACTTTAATAATAGTTTCACTTGAAGTTGAATTGGTTGTGATAAGAAGCTTATAACATTCATTAACGCTAATATTGTGCAAGGTACGGCGAAAATCGGATGAGACGTCAATTAAAAGGATACGAAATAATATTGCTTAATTAAGGGTTTTACTAATTACTACTATTTTTATATCTCAAACCGAAAAACGAACAAAAAAGTTGACAAGCGCCATATTGAAAGTCGTTTTGTTTTGCCATTACTCCTTTGCCACAGTTGTTATTAATTGGTGGTTACACTAATTTAACCCCAGCTCTACGTAAACGCCGACAAAGAGCCTTGAGCAGACCTTAATTCTTTTTTAAACAATTTGTAAATCAAGGTTCAAGGGAATCACTTTTAGTGGTAAGAGAGTTAACAGAGGTAATAGATGTCTCCTTCTTTTTAGCATTTCATTATATACCTAATGACTTATGACTGTAACTCCTACCAACGTGTGTTAAAAGGTAAGTAGTCAAGTCTTCTACTGTGTACGGACCGGTCGAGATCCTAAATGCTAAGCCTGAGGTTGTGGGTTCGATTTCCACGTCGGACAAATATTGTGTGATGAGTATAGAGTAGGTACAGATTATTTAGTAAACGAAAATTACCTATAATAAGAAAGCCGTCTGACCAGCGTGATATACTCGTAATAGGGCAAAACCTCCTTTCTAAGGCTTTCGTCTAACAGAGGACTGATAAAAGTTGTTAATGATGATGAAGGAGAAAGCTTACCAGTAGTCTGGTTACTTCAGTAAGTTGCCTCGTGTGAGGTGACCCATGTTACTAAGAACATTGGAAACACAAGTTACTAGAAAGTAATTGTTTTTAAAGGCAAAATTTAGTTTAGTTTTTGAAAAAAAAAAACTGTATTTTACTGTACTACCTTTTCCATTTTACCTACACTCTTAGTAGCTTTGTACACCAAGTTCATGCATTTTTCCCGACTCTAATATACATTTATCTTTTCAGGTAGGCTGGTTAAGAGCAGAAGACCAGACAATCCTAACAATGCACGACCGAACAGTCCTCGGTGCTAGATACGCAGTCCATCTAGACGCACCAAGAACTTGGCAGCTGAGGATCAGACCACTGCGAGCAGAAGACCGGGGCTGTTACATGTGCCAGATAAACACACAGCCCAGTATGAAGTGGCAGATAGGATGTATCGATGTTTACGGTAAGAATCTTAACTAGTTTTATAATATGAACATGAATTGAAGGCTTGTTGATATCGTTTGACGGCCTGTTGGTCTAGTAGTTAGTGACCCTGACTGCTAAGCCAGAGGTCGTGGGTTCGACTCCCATCTAGGACAAGTAATTGTGTGATGAGCACGATGATTTGTTCTGTATCTGGGTGTAATTTATCTATAATACGTATGTATTTAGAAATATTTAAGTATGTTTATCAGCAGTCTGATTACCATGGCACAGGCTCTGTCTAGTTTGGAATCAGATGGCCGTGTGTGTGATTGTTAAAGTTATTATTATTATAATTTATTTGTTAAGCTTTCATCATGTATGTACTTTATAACTACTTAATCGAGCATTGTGAAAAGTTGTGTATTCATTAAGAGCAGTACAGAAAACGTCACAAGATAACTTATAATGAAAATAATTATATTTCTAAGGTAAACCTAAATTGACTACAAAATTCATTACAAAATATGGATAAACAAATACAGAGCTGCGGGCAAAAGCTCGCTTTTTTGTATAAAAAATAGCACAGAAACATTTGTGACCATTGTTTCACTTCCGAAAGTCTCTTACAACTACAACTTCGAAATTCAAAAATAAAATTTTAAAAAGCACTACTAGTAGTATAAATAAAGCCTTGAACTATATAATAATAACTACTTGTTATAAAAAATACATACACATTAATTGATATTGTAATTAATTGTTCCTCTAATTATATAAATAAAGCCACATTGCATCAGAGATCAGCCGAAGCTTTTAAATCAACACAAAATCTTCTTAATTATTTATACACTTACGTGCTTCATCCCCGGAGGGTTAGACAGAAGCGGATTAACCACCCACATTTTGTTGCTGTAACTTTGCAAGAGGGATAATGTAATAATAAAAAAACCATAGAATTAATAACACTATCACTTAACGTACATAGCCTTAGCAATAATTTCTTCCGAACCCACGACCTCAACCGCCTTCAAAATTAGAGTCGCTGGTCATAGATCAACTAATAAGGGCAAGGACAACAACTTAAAATGTCTTTTTATCTTTACTAAGTGACAGATAGCCAGCTTATCCTCTGTACACGGGGCTATGGTGTCCGCCAGCGTGACTGGATCTACTTAATCCGACTTTGAACAGATTAGACGAACTTCTTTAAGATATGGGTCACTCAGTTTAAGTGATAGGTGTGGCTTCTTGGATCGCATGTGTTGTAGTTTTATACAGGTTGTTTAGTTTATTGTTGTTATTTAAAAGAAAAACTGTATGTCTGATTGACGTGAATGCGAATAAGGCGTAAGGTGCTTTGCTCTGTACTTTTGAATATCATATAATAGTGCCATGCAGAATTGTCGCTAAAGTATTATTTACAGGCAGGTTGTTTTTTGCCAGTTTCGTATTATAATCAAGCCTAATTGAGATCATAGAAAGAAGCATAAAGTTTAGAATTATAAACATGCCATAACTTGGTACGAAACATATTTGATACTGATATAAAGTCAAAAAATATATTAAATATATTATAGCATTTGAATAAATACATATTTTGTTAGCAGGCTAAAAAAATATCTAAAATCACATGCTGTAACACCAATTCGCCTAAAAATAAAATCTCAGAAATAAATAATACCGTCGTTTAGAAAAGAAAAATATAATATATCCGACCTTTTTCAAAGTCAAACTAGTGGGTCTAAAGATATATTAAAAGTATAATGGACTGCGGAAATCGGATGCCACCCGTGTGGTCCGGCCCTCGGTGGCGATCGATCACGTGGTCTTACATGCCCCAGAAACTGGAATGAAAATAAAATGGGTTTGGTGACATATTAGAAAATGGAATTGTGTGATATGAAGGTTTATGCGGGGAAAATAGAGCTCAGGTGTACTATATAAGTGACCATCTTTTAAAACTAAAAATGCGATTATGATATTAAGAGTTACAAATCAGTAAAATCCTTCACGCTTTTTTGTTACAAATATTTAGTTAAACGGTCATATCTCTGTTCACGAGAAATGACTAAGGACGTTACAACTTTAGTACATCATCAAGCATTCATATTACGACATTGACATTAACATTTCACAATTTAAAAAATATATTTTCATCATCTCTCGTCATCATCGTCTCATCGTCCCACCAGCGTGGTAAAGTAGGCCAAATCCTTCTTTCTAAGGAGAGGCCTATGTAAAGCAGTGGACTACTAAAGGCTGTTGATGGTGATGATGGTAGAAAATATTTGTTTTTAGTGATGGTAGAATTTTATCGATAGAACTACTGAACTGAACAATTAATTTAATTTTGAAACCAATAAAAAAAACAATTTAATTCTTTTTTGGTTACAAAATTAAATTAATAATGTCATGGGCAAAAAAAAAAATTTTTTGAATAAAACCTTATTGTAAGTCTCCTTTATAACCTCCTTTCTAAGGAGAGGCTTATGTCCAGCAGTGGACTATTAAAGGCTGTTGATGATGATGATGATGATGTAAGTATCTCTTAAACCGTGGCAAATAATTGTTTTATTAATGATTCTGTACCTTATTTATGAATATGCTATTGCTACCGTATTGTCTTATAAAGGTCTGTTTAAATGATTAATAATGAATAATATTCCTTAGCAGAAACTACAGTAGTAATCTGTTTTTTAGCATTTACACTTTACTCCACAGTAAAATATATATGTACGTTTCAATATTTCAGAAAGAAATCCTTCAAGTTTCTTCCACGTGTATAAGCAAAAAACTATTTTAAAATGTTTCTGAGTTTCACGTCAAAGAACTAGTACATTATTGTATTCATAAATTTCAACTTCACAAAACTTCCAGTCAGTTACCGATCTACAATTGGAGAAAAACTCAAAAGCTTATTGAAATCATATTTCATTATAGGACTCTGTATAATTTATGGCGGAATTCCAAAGAGTACGGTGGAGTTTAGCAATTTTGTGTTCTCGATATTTGCATGGCCGGGGGCGAATTTCTTTTTCAATTTCGTACTTGTTCGGGCTTTATTGGCGCTCGGTGTCACTTGGACCGACAACTTGGGTAACGTATGGTAAGCGTTCTTGGGTTATTCTTTGATTAAGTTGGCAAGAAATTTGATTGTAACCTGAATTGTGCAATGTAATATATTTTACTGATCCATTCTTCGGTTGAGTACATTTTTTACAAGCTTTGGGTTTTTCATGAAAGGCAAATCAATCAAGGCAAGACAATCTTTGAATTTTTTTTTTAGAATACTTCAACCGCTTGCACATATTCTGCTGTCCATTTATTCCATCTGTCCAATAGTAGCTTGACTAGAGCAACATGAAAGTCCAGATACTTTTTCAAAATCTAGAATCAATAAATTACATCATTAATTAGCATAAAATAAAGTTCTTCGTCTTTCTTTTTAATACTTAACTTTTCTTCTTCACTTTTGAATATATAACGAATATTTTAATTGACTTCATAAAACAAGAATCAGAAAATTATGTGTCAATGAAAAGAATAAATTTCTCAACAGTCAATGTAACTTTAATCGAACACTTGAACTGTAGTGGTAACCTTTTTAAGTAAAATGCCATTCGTGTAGTTTGCCAAGACTATCAATCATCTATTGGATTCACTTAGGTGGACATTCAACTTTTGTTTAACTTTGACCTTCTCAACCACGAACCGGACAATCTGATTTTTCTTTGACCAATATAGAACACAAAGGAATTTGCAAACACCGACGCATTTTCATTGAGAAATAAGAGAAAACATGTAATGAGTTATAAATGGAATGGAACGCCAAATTTGTTTTTTAATCTCGGAAAGAGCATCGCATTTTAACATTAACAAAAATATTTAAAATAATACTGTTATCTACTTTGATCTTCTAAAAACTTAAAAAAAATAGGCTTTTATTACGTTTCAGTGCATAAAATAGATATTTAAGAATAAGCTGTACACATATGATAGTTGTTACGAGTATTTTAAAATATAATAGTATTGACTCTTCAAGCTCTTAGGTAAGCGTATTCCCTTGTATAGAACAAATTGGAAGTTTCAGGACATAAGTTATAAGTTAAAAATGTATTCTGATCTACCAAATGAACTTTTACTGTCATCTAAAACTGATAACTTGTTAACACGCAATGTACATTAATAAAAATATGTCAAAAATACCTACACTTTACTCAATTTGTAAACAGATTTGATACTTAGTAATATATTTTGTTTGCTTTAAAAGACAGAAAGAATTTACAAGAATACATTTCTTTTTCAAATCTCGTTCTGTTAAGTACTTAAGAACGGCAGGCTTGTATTGCAGCCTTGTATAAAAGTGGGCGTCCGCCCCGCTACTAGAAGCAATTGTTCTTTTAAAGCGACTAGAAGATAATCTCATCCAGGGATTAGTATAAAAGCAATTAGTTTTTACAACCCCACATTAATTTAATAGTGTTTCAATTTGTTATAAGAAAGGAAAGTGTCTCACTGTGTATATACTTATACTATACTAGCTGACCCGCGCAACTTCGTCTGCGTCTCTCGATAGTAATAAATTTTCTCCGTTTTTGAAACACTCTTCATCGGTGCTCCGCTCCTATTAGTCTTAGCGTGATGATATATAGCCTATAGCCTTCCTCGATAAATGGGCTATCTAACACTGTAAGAATTTTTCAAATCGGACCAGTAGTTCCTGACATTAGCGCGTTCAAACGAACAAACAAACAAACAAACTCTTCAGCTTTATAATATTAGTATACATTTAACCGACTTAAGAAAAGGGACAAAGTCCGGTTGTATTGTTTTTATATTTGTTACCTCGGAATCCCATCATTTCTGAACTGATTTGGATTTTTTTTCTTCTTTTTTGGGTATTGACCTTTTGGATTTTCTTCTGAGTAATTTCATTGCGGGTACTAAGACAGTTTAGTTTCTCCTGGGACTTTCCGAGTGTCACAACTCGTAGTGTTCGTGGGTCATTGTTATTGGTCCTTGTGTACAGGAGTTACA